TCGAACGACAAGCCAACAACACCGGTGTCTTCATCCTTGAAGCGGCTACAATTGTTGTGCTCCCTCCCCCGCGCATTGATGATACAAATCCACATGCAGTCGCCGCTCCACACGAGCTCCCTGCATGGATCTCGTCTCCCAGCCCCGCCCTCACCGAGAACCGCTCCAAGAGATTGCTTGCTGCTGGATTGACAATCACGGTTTGTGTCACCGCCGGGCCGCTCCCACTACCCAGGCCGAAGCTCAGATCGACAGGTCCGGCATCTTCGCCACCCCCACCCCCCCTCCAGCAGCTCTGTGAACATCCCGGGTGTTGGCTGTCATTTGAAGAATTGGCTCCCCATCCGATCCCGTGTCGATCCAGCGAAACTGTTGAGAGGATCGATGCTCCTCGCCGTAGTCATCGCTTAGAGGCAATTGAATATCCTGCAATGGCAGGTGGCTGTACATTGCGGGGTTGTACGGTTGCCTGCAATCACGCATGGGAGCGAATCGCTGTCGTGAAGATTCCCCCGGCCCTGCTGGCAGCGTGCTGTTCATTTGATGGTTCTCCATTTTCCTCGCCTTCTTCGACGACCGCCTACTCTGTTTCCTCCCTGGAAGTCGCCCAGGAAAGACAAGTAGAACACGACAACCACCAGGAACAGCACAATGATTAGAAGCAGTAACAGTAGCCTGCAGTGCAGGTCAACCGTGAACAACACCAAGAGGAAGACAGCGCAGGCGTGGCTTGTCGCATCTGCAGATGGTGATGACACACAGTCGTCGGGAACACGCCAAGGAGAGCACTATCATCTATGGAGGGGCTGGCAGCACGGCTAGAAATTCCAAATTTCGGACCGTTGGGAAGCCCGCTAGAACGCCACGAACCCCCGAGGAGGCGCCTGAAGATGCCCATGGGGCAACGGCAATTCCCGAGTAGCTGCCTGGAGGTACGGGCGCACCACACCGCGAATCGCCGTCAACGGTGAACTCCGGACGCCGTTGCAGGACGTCCAGAGCGCTACCGGGCCATGATGTCCATCCTGCCTCCACTGGACCACGACTGGCCCACCTCTGGCATCAAATTTCCCTTCAAGGCTCCATGCTCCGTCAATCACGGATCCTCAGGCTCCAAGTGACCTCGCGAGGTCCCCTGGAGCCGAGGACGAAATGGCTGAGAAATCCGTGGAGCCCACTTGTCCGTGGAGTGTTTTCACTTTTTTTTCCCGATTTTCAATGGACAGGTGTAACGACGACGGAATCCTTGGAATCGCATTCCTGAGGAGTGTCTAATGACGGCCCTACTCGAGGTAAGGCAGACATGTCAATGCCGGATTTAACACCTGTACCTTTCTATTTGCTTTTGATTGAGCCATCATCATTACATGCTCGTGGACAGACACACTCTGAGAGAGCGATGATTGTGTGTTTGGACCTGTAGCCTCTAACTCACTGCTTCTTTTTGGACGTCAATGCACCGGGCCATGCCTTGTCCATGTTCATTTCACTACATCATGATGTCCCACTGTCCAATGTCCCGTAGTATACAGAGAGTTTCACTAAGGTCTATTTCTTTTCGCCAATTCCATGTTCTCTTGTTTTTTTGTTTTTTTGAAAGGATGAATTGTATATTGCAAAAGATGGGAAAAGGCCGGGGTCCTCACAATTCTACCTGGTGTACTGGCCTTTTTTTTTTTTTTTTCAATAAAGAGCCCAGGTTCCTATTAGGAGGGGTAATGTGAGCAGCCCCCCCTACTACGGTAGGTCCCCCGGCTGCTCCATCTATTGGTGGGGAGCTGCACCTGCTGGAAACCGGGTCCAGCGTCCCATTTTTACAAAATTGATTATGATCTGTATACATGTGGAACCTTCCGGGAAGCCAGAGACCGCCTCTTCAGCCCCCCCCGGCGGGGGGCGCCTAATCCATCCCTCTTCGCTAGCCGTCTCTTGCCCGGTCCGTCCCTTTTACAAACCCGAGACTAAATCAAAACCAAAATCATCTCTTGCTCCCTGTCTGTTATCTACCTGTTTCCTGAGCAGGCTGTGTTTCTCATTAAACCCTAAACCCTACCATCTTCACCCAAATAGAACGCCCAGTCATTATCGCTGCATCTGGACCGACAGTTGTGCCAAATACAGCTATAATGAACGGGCGTTCTATTCGGGTGAAGACGGTATTCCTCCTGTGTTCCATGCCAGTTGCTTGTCCTGCTTCCAACCCTTTCTCTGCCCCCTGCTCTCCTCCGCCTTCCTCCCTACATCCCGTACCACCCCAAATCTACCAGGCAGGCTGTTGAAGGTGGAGGGAAGGGGTCCGGGAAGTCTTCACTCTGTCTCATTGGAACTGCGGCGTCCAACTGGTCCGCTCGTGGAAGATTAGCCGATAGTGCTCGATTATCCCCTTATTGGGTCCCCTCTTGACCCCTGTTCCCTGTTTTCCTTTCCACCATCCCTATCTTCCCCCCCCTTTTCCCCCTCCATGCCAGCTTGCACAAATTTCCTGTATTCTTTGGTTTATTTTCTTCCGCGTGTGTATATGGTGGATTTGCACTTTAAACCACCAGTACTTGGCCCAGTTATCGATGCCGAGCCGGCCAACCCCCTGCGCGCCAATTTTCGCTGAACTGCCGGGTCGCCGTTTCAACTCTTTTTTGGCTGGCGCTTCCAGTCATTGTGGTCCGGTACCCCGAAGCCCGACAGGCGCGGCGCGTTAACGGGGAAGCGCCGCGACCGATAGCTGGGCCAAGTACTGGTGGTTTAAGTTCTTCCCATCGTGTTGTTATATCCGTCTGAATTTGCTGTTGTATGCTCTCTGTGAATTCTGGCTTTTCCAGCCTCACCCCTTCCATCTTGTGAGTGCGGCAGCGCCTCCAAAGCACCCACATCACCGCCCTGCGTCCCACTTTAAACCACCAGTACTTCCTAGAGTTGTGTCCATTAACGCGCCACGGTTTTAGGAAACGTACGGGCTACTACAGGAGCCCCCAAATGCATCTGACTAGAAACATTATTACTCTATTTTTTTTCCCGCAGCCGATAGCTGGGCCATGTAATGGTGGTTTAAAGATGTTACAGGTGAAGTCGTCTGCCTGTTCCGAGGGCCACGTTTCTAGCAGCAGGGCTGGTGTACTGGCCTAAGGTCCACGTTTCAAAAACATCACGATGCACAAAACCCTTAGGCAGCAGTTGTTTCATTTTTTTCGCTTTTATTTCGATTTGTTTATTCACGGTTGGGTTAGCTCAACTCAATAGGGTAGGTGGCTCCTAGCTCCTGCAGGCAGGTCCCACTACGGTATCGAACATCCAGTCATCATAGCCGTATTTTGTGGAATTTTCAGTCCAGATATCACCGTAATGACCAGGCATTTATTCGGGTGAAGACGGCAATAGCAGGATAGAATGGAAAAGAGTTTGTGTGGCAATAAAGCGACCCGAATCCTGTGCTGCAATGAGTCGTGATCCCGAGGTCCGTGTTTTACACGAATTACCTGAGAAAATAACGCGATCTTAGATCCCCTCCTTCTCTGCCTGCTTGAACCGCCAGTACACGGCCCCAGCCTTGCTAAAAGAAACCCGTTGCCTGGTCCGAAAAGGCCGGGGCAGGTGTGCCATCGATCAAAAGCAAAAGGCGGCCGGCGTCGCGTTTTGGCCTCCGGAAGGGGCCCGCGGCCAATGTACGGAGTGTACTGGTTGTTTAACATTGGGCATGGTCATGCAAACATTGCGAAGGACACTTCCCGCCAAATTATTTTCTATCTGATAGGGAGGGGTATGACCGATCCATGAGAGGGGGTGGGATTCGGCCATAGGCGCACTGGATAGAAAATTTTCAACACTCAAAAATTCCGTTTTGCGTAGTGCAATAATCTCATTTGCTGGAGCCCTCCTCCAATCACGGAGCGCATGGAGGGCGTCATGATCACGGCTGACAAAAGTCTCCTTTCTTCCAAGAAAGGTGGCAGTTGCTTCTTTGGGGACACTACGCGGGAGTCACAAAAAGGAGTTATAATCATGCTACGGGTCACAATACAGCTGCAAATTGCAGTTTGGGCAATGTATACAATCCAGCTTTCTGGCCAGGTAGGGTGCCTGAAGTGCAATTGCAAACTGTATCTTGCCCCATTGTGCAATTATAACTCGCTTTTGTGACTCTACTGAAGTTACCCCTGTCAATAAAAAAAAAAAAAAAAAAAAAAAAGAGTTACCCCTGCTTTTCACTGTTTCGCGATCTCTCCCATTGGATCATTTGTGATCTGATGGCTGGGAAGCGCTCCCCCATGATTTCCAGGTATGCGGTCTTTTTTTTTAAGGGTTTTTTATTTTTTTTATTTTTTTTATTTGTGTGTGTGTGTGCGTACAGATTTTTTCTGTTTTGGCGCCTTTCTCCTGTTCTCTCTGCCCAGAAATTCGTAATGAACCTGCCGTGCCGCTGCCACACAGTGTCCCGCTGGATCGGCCATACTCCTATCCTGGGACTTCGTGTTCAAGTGACACTAAAAAAGTCAGATTTTTTTTTCACCTCATTTTTTTTTTCCGAATATAATGTCCGGGCCCCGGGCCCTGGGCGTTATACACAAATAGCCCAAGAGTACGTTTGAGCATCGCACTCGTAGAATGCCTTGTTCGGGGGAGTGAGGGGGGGAGGGGGGGGGCAACAGTATACATGGGGTTTGGATGGGGTTTAAAGGGGGTTTAACTTCAGACGCATGTGCTTTGGTTTGGTTTTTCTGTTTCATTTTTTCTCTTGTTAATCTTGTCAAATTGTGCCCGTGGAGTATCTACCTATCAATATTGACAGTACAGACTCATGTTGTAATCTGGGATGCTGGACCCTCTTTCCAGCAGATGATGCTCTCCACCAATAGATTGAGCCTTCTCATCAGCAGGCCCACCTAAAGAGGATTCTCTTATATCACCTTGTGAAGTGCCCCACCTGTGCTGAAGCTTTGTATTAAACTGGGTAGCACCACGTACGTGTATGCGACGCGTACGCCTACATGCCCGAAACCCCGCATACGGGTATGTATTTCATTTTATTTTATTTTTATTTATATATATGTAGAGATTATATACTATATACAATGTAATCTATATAATATATATATAATATATCGTGTTTAAATCTATAGGAGGAAGATCTTCCTCCTCCTCCTCCTCCTCCTCCTCCTCCTTCCCATCGCCATCTTGTTCCTCCTCCTCCTCCTCCGTCCCATTGCCATCTTGTTCCTCCTCATCCTCCTCCTCCCCCTCCTCCCATAGCCAACGGGCAATGGCGACGGCGATGGCGACGGGTGACGAGCGATGGAGACGGATGATGATGACGGGGAGGAAGACAACGATGGGAAGGAGGAGGAGGAAGACAGCATTGGTGGGGAGATAGCAGAAGACGATGGGGAGGATGAGGAGGAGGAGGAGGAGGAGGAAGAAGATGATGGGGAGATAGCACGGGTACTTTCGTGATAAAAACGAAATCCCGCGGTGAGCAGACGGGGAAAATGATTCGGCTGTTTCTTCTCTGGGCCTCCTTCGTGGCAGCATGGGAGAGAGTCGTGGCTGGATTTCGTGAACACATTTCCAAAAAAAGCTCCCGACCCCTAACCCCTCCTCCTGAAAGTAGGTGCCTGTGCGAAATTGGGTTTTCCCTTTTTTCTGTTGCCGGCTCGTGGTCATTGGCCGTTGGATCTCCGTAGATGGCGTTGGGACGGAGTGCATGTCGGCAAAACTTGTGGAGGAGTGCCTTCCCCGTCGGGCCCATGGGATCCAAATTCGATTTTACGAGCCGGTTGGCACGAACACGACTTTCAGGGTACTTTTCCGACCTTTTCTTCCGACTTTTTCTTCCGACTTTTTCGTCAGAACGCACTGTGGGATCCAAGCCTAAGTAAGATCAAGTGTAGTATCTGTTGATTCTGATCTGATGAGTTTTTAATAGGTTCTCGTGAAAGTACGAGCTGACAAAAAGACTAGAGAAGAGAAAAAAGAGTTGGTAGAATAGGGAAAAGAAAGAAAAGAAAAGAAACTAATGGCTGTGAGTAGGTGACAGCTCGGCAGATCACAAAAAATACAGTGCATGCAGTGTGAGGGGAGGAGGCAGAGCGAGCATAAAATCTCACTACGTCTCTTTTTATTCTTCTCCCCTTTTTTTTTTTTTTTTTTAATAAAGTGAGCTGCATTCTTCTCTCAATTTCTCCTCACACTACCTACCTACCACTACTCCTAATTTTAGTCATACGAGCTACATTCTTCTTCTCAATTAATAAATAAAAAGAAAGGTGAGCCAGAACCGTGTTCACATCACACTACCTACCACAACTGTGGATTGCGTGAAAAATGGTTTCCAAAAAACGAAAACTTAGAAAAGAAACAAAAAAAAAACACCTACGAAGGCTAGTTCCCAAATAAAAAGCTTCCCAGAAAAGAAAAGAAAAAAATAAAATAAAAAAATGCTGGTGGCAAAATGCCCCATTTTCTGCCCCTTGCTGTCCTGGTACGCCCAGAGAACCTTTTTGCTCTATCCTGCAGTCTTAGGAGCAATGCCCTGCTCCTGTAGCTTCGCTGCTTGCCCTTGTTGTTCGTCGGCTTGTACCGACAACGATGTGCATCTTTTTCGTACATGGGTGCATACGTGTGATTTTTTTATTTTTAGTTTGATGGTGTGAAGGTGTGAAGGTTACGATGGTCACTTTCTTTCTCTCCAATTTTTTTTTTTTTGTGTCTGCATAGAACAAGGAGAAGCGGACATGTGCGGACACCGCCAGGTCACAGGAGCCTAAGTTGTTGACAATGGTGCCTTCGAAGGCTTGGGAGCCTGCAACTGCGCCTTGTCAGAGTGGCCTGCCACTTCGCTACCCACTCAGGCCCAAATTGAAATATTCTCTCACTGTGTATATACAGGGAGGATCACTACTCAGATTCACATGAACTGGCTGTTTACACCACCACCAGTACACCATGTATCGGCTGCGGGTGTGGTCATGAGCCCGCACCACTCCGGAAGTTCTTATTACTTGGTGCAATCTCAAGACCTTTCCGCGAGTGTTGGCGAAACTCCAATGTCCCAGTGCATGCTGCCTGTAACCGATGGGATGACCAATTCATATCACTCGGGACTCTGTCTAGACGAGGACCGCTTCAACAGCAATTGGTGCATGCAGATGAAACACTTCGCTATTCGGGATTTGTGGTGGGGATTTTGGTGGGACCACCACTGAAGGGGATTGGCCTGGCCGAGAGTGCCATGCTCAGCCCACATTCGCTGAGATTTTCAGTGCTGCAGGTTTCAGTATTCTAATAATGATTTTGCTCTCTGCTGTCCCTGTGGGCCCAAGAATTCGGGCTCTCTTCTCCAGACTCGAGAGAAATTCTTCGATTTGGTAATCGAATAACTTCGATTCGGGTCAGCAGAGGTTTGACGTGGTCGATTCGGGTAAGCGGAGGTTTGACGTGGTCCCTTTTCTCCCGTTCTCCCCTCTTTTTTTTTTTTTTGTACCCCTACTATAGACTCGTGGAAGTGGGCACGGGCTACAGACCGCCAGTACGACACGCGGGCCTGGTGGCCTTCCACTGCGCACCAAGCTTTTCCCAAACGCCAGCAGCACACTTCTTTTCCTGTTCCGAATGGCGCCGCCAGCCATCGTGGTGCGGTAGCCCCGAGCCTCCAAATTTTTCATAGGCGATGAACGATTTCTCCGCAAAGCTGGAGCCGTCACTTCAAAATTCTGAGCTTGCAAACATCATTTGCTGGGATTTTCAGTACCTCGGGCTTCAAACCTCTCGTCTGCCCACTTTAGGGCTACTCTCATCCTACGTGGGAAATCCACCCCCTTATAGATATCACTTGTTAAACAATATAATACACCTGTGTGACATGTGTCCATTTTAAAAATGTATACATAAAATTTCAGGTGTGTGACCTTGATTGACTACAACTAGATCTGTGCAGGGAGATCTGATGGTCAGTCTCAAACGACCAGTACTTACTAAAGTCGTGCCCGTAAACAATCTGGTGAATAGAAGCCACAATTTTAGATAACGTACGGGCCACTACAGGAGCGCCCAAATTCATCCGGCTAGAAACATTTTTTTCCTACTCATTTTTACCCACGGCCGATAGCTGGGCCAAGTACTGGTGGTTGAAGAAGTATATCACAAAGTTGAAGATGACAGCCCATACAGGAGGTGTCTCCAGCATCCCCCTTGGACATGTACCCCCGACCTCTCTCCCCCCCCCCCCCCCCTTTCCGGATTTTCAACACTTCACGACCTTCAAGATTTTCAGCAAACCCTCTGTTGATCATCCTGAAGTCTCCTGAAGTGGTGAAAATCCAGAACAAAACAAGGGGGAGAGTGGGGTAGCCCCCCTTCCTACCCCCTCTTGCTCCGCCCCTCGGCCCCTTAAACCAACAGTACACAGGGGCCTGGAGGCGCTGCACTGTGCGCCAAGCTTTTCCGAACCGCCAGCTGCACACTTTTTTCCTTTTCCAAGGCCGGCGCCGCCAGCCATTGTGGTCCTGTCGAGGCCAAAGCTGCAAAATTTCCGGAGTAGGTGCCAGAAATTTTTCTGCAAGGCTGGGGCCGTGTACCAGAGTTCGCAACTGGGATTTTTGGGAATACCTGTACTTGACCTAACCACACCCTCTTTGAGAACCAACCACCCAACCCACTGTATACCTAGCCTGCCGGACCTTTACCCATCTCCACCTGCTAAAAAGAAAAAAAAAGTATAGCCAGACCTACCCTACCTGAACCTCTTCAGCATGTAACCGGCCATACCTACCCATGAACATTTTTTTTCAAAACCACCCATGGCCACCTGAACCCAAATCGTTTGTTAACCACCCATACCCTACCCTACCCAAGTTTTCTTAACCAGTACCCACCTGTACCTACCCATAATTGTAGGCAACCACCCGTGCTCATCACCCGCCATCCCCTAACCGCCCATGAACGGACAAGGCCTGCCGTGTGCAGGGCCCAGGGGCTGCAAATTTTCCACGAGTTTCGGGAAGGGGCTACAATACTGAGCTTTTCCAGTAGGACCCAAGTTCCATCATTTACTTTCACAGAAGGATTTAGAACCAGCAGTTGGAACCACCGGGAAATGGTACCGGTTCGGAGAGTCTCGCAGTTTTTTCGATAGGCTGTAGGAGATATATAAATAGTTGTTGACGGTCTGAGTATGTCATCTGTGCCAGGTTATGACCCCTGAAGAGTGCCGGCTGGCAACCGGCCGAAACACAGCGTCGGGTTGCGCTGCCGTGTGTCGCGATGTTTCGACGATTATTATTTTTACGGCACACTACCTGTGCTCGGATTGTATCTCTGTCTTTTCTCCCACCATGCGTCCGTCCATAAACGTGTCATATGGTCTTGTCATAGACATCACTATGTGTTCACATGAACGAGTATCAGTAACATACGCATATACACACAACAACCGTCGTAGCAGCTACTACGTTCGAGTGGTTGTGCTAGGGTACCCGCGTACAGTCGGTATTCCTCTTCCTCTTCACCGTAGTACTTTCTTCCTACTCCTACTCTTATTCTATTCTATTCTAGCCGTTCTTCTTCTTTTCGAGACGAGTTACGGGGGGTCACGGGTTTGCCATCATTGCAGGCAACCCGAACATTTCATTAGGGATTGTCAATTACGACAAGTCCCGAATGCAGCCGCCCTTTTAGGCGGTCAAGGTGGAGAAAGAACTCCAGATAACAATGGCCTTCTACGAGCGCCGAATGCTATCGTACCGTATCGAGGCGCGCAGGGAAATGGAAGTCACAATGAAGGAGGCGGTTCGAATCCAGGACGACAAAGGAGCTATAATCAAGAACACAACGGGAATGACGATAACCAGGGCTACAGTGGAGGCTACAATAGGGGGAGTTGTCAACAACGTCAACGTGTTAACTGGTGGGCAGACAACAGAGAGCGCGAGAACAGGAGAAGTTCGAGAAGGTGTGGGATTGGTATGCCGAGGAAATGGCGTGTAAGGAAAAGGAACGGAAGGAAAAAGAGCAAAAACAAAGGGAGAAAGAAGAGAGGAAACGAAGTCAAGAGGCCGAGGAGGAGCGAACCAAAGCCAAGAAGGAGCGACAAGAGTTCGAAGCCTCGTTAGGAAAGATGGTTAAGGACAACATGAAGGAGGTTTGTGAGCACGTGTTGGGGAAGAAATCCGCCACGAGCCAAGAAGCCAGCATGAGTACCGATATCCGGAGGAAAGAACAAGAAGCGAGATGGCAAAGGGAAGACGCGGCCGCAAGAGAACAACTACAGCGTCAGAAGGACGAGGATATCGAATGTTTGAAGAAAGAGAAAGAAGATTTGGTCAAGATAGCGACGGGCAAGGCGAGCAAGGAGCTCGACTCTCTGAGATCGGATGATCAGGCTTTGGCCTACGATGTTCTCAGACTTAAGGAGGAGATGAAGGAACTCAAATGTGGAAGCAAACGCGGTGCAGAGGCAGTGACGGAAAAAGCCCCCCCAGAGGAGCCAGCGAAGGGTAAGACAAAGACGACGATGGACGGTCAAACACCAAATAGTTGGGCCAAGCTAGCCGAGGCGTATCGAAGAGTATATGATGAGAAGGATATGGCCGATCGGGAGGTATCGGCGCGCAAGGAGAGGATCAATCGCATCAAGCTCGTTTCACCTTCAAGCTCACGAAGAAAGACTTTCCGAAGAAAGAGTCTCAAGGAGAGGAGTGGAGGGGACCAAGTGAAAGTGACCTTCATAAGGAAGGTAGAAGAAGACCGAGATATGTTTTACAAGCGGGTCCTCATGGATATATCGAAGCTAAGGAAGGCACAAATGGAAATGCTTTGCAAAGACGAGGAGATAGAGTACGTTGGGATCAAAAAAATTGCAGGTGATGTCGCCGATATCTACACGGCCAGAGCATTCGAGCGGCCGACAAAGAGGAAGCTGTTACAAACGGAACGTGAGGAAGAGCAGGAGGTTGACAATCAAAACGCGCAGGAGGACACATCGGCCGACGTGGCAGAAACATCCGCGAATGGTTTCGCAGGCTCGGAATCTTCGTAGATTTGGCCCCGAGCACCGGTGCCATTTATTCTTTTCTCGCAGAGTTTCAGACACTAAGAAAGGTCACCACTAATCTATGCCATCCCAATCTCAATGTTGTGTTCCGTAGCTATGTCTTGCTCCTGATTCTGTCGTCTGCTATTCCTTGGACCAGGAAATTCGAACCTTATGTTTCTGCTCTTGCCAATTCCCACTACGACTTTGATCTTTGCCCGAGACCCTCTGTTTACATCCTCGTCTCTCCATGGGCCAAGCACACTTACGTGGGATGCACTTCTCGTCCGTTACATGTGCGTTGGAAGGAGCATGTTAGAAGATCACAGTACAAAGGTAAGGACAGTGAGGTTAGGAATCATAGATTGTATCGACAGTTACGACGGTATGGTATAGAAAACTATGTAGCTTTACCTATTGCGAATCTGTCTGGTAATGATCTGCTGGAGTGTGAGCAATTCTTCATTCGGACTTGCAACCCATTTTTGAATAGTAGGGGACGAAGTAGAAGCAACGGATATCCTAAATGTCGACCAGGCAAAAAAAAGCGGAGTAAGAGGCAAAGATTCGGAGATAGGTTGTATCAACAGTCCAATGAAGTCGTCGCGAAAGATTTTGCCAGTTTCCGAGCATCGTTTGGGTTGACTTCAGTTTCGTCGATCAAAGTTTTTGACGAGGCCAATAATCGTGACGTCAAATTGTTTTCGATAGACTGCACTCACGGTTACATATTGTGCGACAAGTGGAAAGTGTTACGTAGGAAATATGGATCGGCAGTGATCAAGGCTACGAAGGGTACCAGTTTGCTGAAAGACGCCAGGGGATGGGTGATGTCCGGTAATACCCTGAACGTGGCGGAAATTTCTTATTTCTGCTCTCGCTTCAAAGAAAAGAAACATTCTCTAATCCCTTTACTTTCTCACCCGTCCTCTCGAAAAACTCTCTACACTCAAAAGTTTTGAATATCTGTTGGATTCTTATAGTACTATCAGGTCGTTTTCCAAAAAGGAGAATCGGACTACTCTGAGGAATGTACTAGCAAGGGTATTAAGAGCTAAGTTCAAATTTGACATCCGATCGAAACCAGTCTTGAGAATCCCATATGATGGGAGATTGTCGAAACCCAAGTTGCGGAAAATCTGTATTCGCGGTGTCCATTCCTCTTCTGTCAGAAAACCCCTGCAGAAACTCATCTGTCGTAGGCTGAGAATTGTGTGTCAGAAAAATAGATCTATCGGAGACCACCTGCACAACTACAAATCACTTGCCAAGTCCAATACTCTTGTCTGTTCTTGCTCAACCTCTCTGAATCTGCCTCGTACTCCCGATGGACATATTGCCATGCGGTTCTCGTCGACGGTCATCAATCTTCCCACCCTTCTTCGTAATTCTAAAAACATCCCCTATCCCAATCTTTCGGTCAATATTCCGTCCCTACGTCAGACTGTCATTCGTTTCCCTGTGTGAGGTCCAAAAAAATACTGTGCACTTTGATATTCTTGATCATGAGTTAGTGTCTTGTTTCACTGGAAGAAAAGAATGTGCATTTCACGAGGAAGATTATGTAAGGGTGGTTCAGGAATGGAAAGAGAAGTTGGAGGGGTTAGCAATTTGCGCTATAGATCATAATGCAGGTGACTCATTGGTTTGATGCCCCGTGGTATATCGGGCAGGGTTGGAGAAGTTGTTCTTACGCAATGATGGGTTTGTCCAGGTTGGGAATACGGAAAGTGAGGTTATCAGTAGGATTAAGAAGACATACTTTAGCATCAAATACCAAAAGATTGCTCCGTGGAATTATAAGTGCCAATTAGGGAAGGCGTATGCAATGCCAAAACATAAGGATATTATTAGATGGCGACCCATTTGCCCTTTTAGGTCCAACCCGCTAGCTAGAATTAGTAAGAGATCATCTCCAAAGCTATCAACTACCTGATATGGTACCTGCCCTCCAACTATCATTTCAATCTCAAATCAACCGGAGATCTACTTACTCGGCCATCTTCCGTCAACTGTCATTTCCAGCTTTGACGTCAAAGACATGTTCCCGAATCTGCCGCATTCATCAATTGTGCGGGCAGCAGAATGGATCGTCCATTTCTACGAAGAGTTAAGACTGCAGTACCATTTGGATTAAAAAAAGAGGTAAGGAGGTGAGTTTGAAAGTTCGGAGTGCGTCAGATGGAGGATGGTTCCAGTTGAAGTTCTCTAAACTCTTAGGCATGATTTCGTATGACTTAGATAATACCTATACTATGTGCATGGAGACTGTGCTGCAGCAAAAGATAGGAATTCCTATGGATAAACCGTTCAGTCCGGCAATGGCATGTTTGTTATGCGTTCACAAGTTTTGCTTCCTGCAGTCCCTTGGATCACAGAGGACTTTGTTTGCTGGAGTCAGAATGATCGATGATGTGTCTGTTTTCTCACGGCATAATAGACGCTCTTTAATTTCCAGGATCGAGGCCGAAGATAGAATCACCAGGTTCAGTGCAAATTCCGATGATCGGTTGACTTTGGAACAGACCAGCACCGGCAATGTGTGGGATTATTTGGGCTGCATTATACAGGTGTTTCACGAACCAGCACAAGTCTTGTGTGCTGCCATGAACAAGAATGAAAGGTTCATCCTGGACGACGGGATTATCTTTCAAGGGTTGCAAGACTTCATCTCCTATTCCTCCAAACAGCAGAAAATGGCGGTGGTCACTTCTTTCCTTTATCGTGCCCGCGCCATGAACAGTTTACCGGGTGGAGTTCTCTGTTTTCTCCTGACTCTGAAGATCGAGCTTCGTCTGAGAAAGTTTCCGGATTGGTACTTCGACAACGTTTTGCAGAGATTTTCGGATCGATTTAACGGGTTATGGGCATGTTGGGTCAAATGCCTTACCAAATGGAAACTGCAATTGTAGCATGAACGGACAAGGCCTGCCGTGTGCAGGGCCCAGGGGCTGCAAATTTTCCACGAGTTTCGGGAAGGGGCTACAATACTGAGCTTTTTCAAGTAGGACCCAAGTTCCATCATTTACTTTCACAGAAGGATCTAGAACCAGCAGTTGGAACCATCGGGAAATGGTACCGGTTCGGAGAGTCTCGCAGTTTTTTCAATAGGCTGTAGGAGATATATAAATAGCTGTTGACGGTCTGAGTATGTCATCTGTGCCAGGTTATGACCCCTGAAGAGTGCCGGCTGGCAACCGGCCAAAGCGCAGCGTCGGGTTGCGCTGCCGTGTGTCTGTTTCGACGATTATTATTTTTACGGCACACTACCTGTGCTCAGATTGTATCTATCTTTTCTCCCACCATGCGTCCGTCCATACATGTGTCACATGGTCTTGTCATCGACATCACTGTGTGTTCACATGAATGAGTGTCAGTAACATAAGCCCCTTACTGTCCCTAACTGCCCCTAATTGTCCCTAACCGCCCCTAATTGTCCCTAATTGTCCCTAACTGTCCCTAACCGCTCCTAATCCCTGATTGTCCTTAACAACCCCCAACTGTCCCCAACCCCCTGGACGGTCACAAGATTGACGTGGTTATTTTTATTATTGTTAATATTATTTTTTTTTCTTTTCTTTACGAGATACAGCAGCTGCTTCAGCTACTGCCTCAACAGCAACAGTTGTTACATCTGGTCACTCTGATGCTGCTATGGATGCATCTGGTGCTACAGCAGCCTATGCAACCTGTATAGCATCTGCAAATGCAACAACCCTCGGTCTGTCGCACACACACACACTCTCACACACACACGCATACACGCATGCGACACACATAAATGTTACATACACAGGGTTACACACATATGAAAATAGTCTGAAATTTTCAAAAAAATAAAAAAATGAAGAGATATAAAATTCACCCTTGCGAGAAAAAACGTTTGCTATATGGGAAAGCAAGAGATTTCGAATATGAGAAAAGTGTTACGCTTGAGCAAAAATACAAAGCCTGCAAAGCTACACGACTCACATCGGGTATACCACGGTTACCCGATGGGAACCTCTACCGCCCATACCCACCCCTTTTTTTTTTTGGCCATCCGTACCGGCCCATACCCGTCTATTTTTTCTTCTAGCCGCCCAGACCCGTTTTTATTTTTCTTACCCCTACCCCTACCTGCGCCTACCCACCCTTTATCTCCAAAAAGGGCAATTGTGCCCCCTTAACAACCACCACCTTTTGATTGTGCCTGCCCATACCCAACTCCCCCTTCGGATAGGGTACCCATACCCGCCCATAACCAGGCGGTTACAGTTGGGTACGGCCGGGTACGGGCAACGGTTACCCATTTGAGCTCTCTGCCGTGTACCCTCTCGGTTTTGAGGGTTTTCGCCGCTTCACCGGCTTCAGGAGTTTCAGAACCGCTTCCCTGCAAGATCCTGAAAGGAACCGAAGCCAAGGAAATGGAAATCCTTTTCTTTATGCCACTTTCCAAATTTAATTCACCAAAGATTCGTGACCTCGCAAACCGTCGGTTGTCCCCAACCCTTTTCTTCCCGATTCCTCCGACTACAATACTGCCTCGTTTTATTTCTACTGTTATTACCCCGCCCACCTCTTCTACAGCCATGCCGTTGAGGCACTTTTTCTGCACCCCGCTTTTGGATCCCGCCCCACCACCCGTACGATTTCAATATGTACCCCCAACACCCCCATTTTCCCTCTCCTTCCCCCCTCCCTGTGCTATGCTTGCACTTGTACACCAGCCTAAAAGTGTATACTGATTGATGATGTTTTTTTTAATGGCTGGGCAGTTCACAACCAATTTGCGGAAGGTGATAATGTTTTTTTTTTATTTCACTCAGGACACCTACAGATTTGCCTTTAAAAAAAAACATTACCACCTTCCATGCAGTAAAGAGTGCTGAAGCGAATCGGATAGCTTGTGTGTGTGTTGAAGTCCATCATCACCACAACCACCGCTTTTCCACTCAGATGAGCAGAAACAAAACTGTTTCGCGGAACTTTAACCTTAGTTTCCTCTACATAAGAGCCACAGCACTTGCATACTCGAACCGACGAGTACTTTGGAGCATACATCGGCCGCAGGCCCCCAATG